TGTTTATGAAATTAAGTAATAAAAAATGTTGACTGCCTCTCAAACAATACTAACACCTGGTAGAACACCAGGCGGTTATTGATTTGCTTAATTATTTCCTTTTATAGAATCTTCCTGACCAGAAATATAATAGCTATATAAAATAGCTTAATTTCAGCTATGTTAAACTAATAGCTATGAAAGAAACATTTAAATAGAAAGTATCATGATGCAGGTTTTACGATAGTGGTAGAGAAATACAGAAACAAACAAACTCGGTTTAAACAATTGAATTTGAAATAGACAGCTTCAGATATCTCCCTAAATGGTTTCATAACTTTTGCAATGAGAAAAAAAGCAATTTAATATCATGTACCTATCTCAAATTCTTGTCGACACTTTTTGCATTAAAAATTTTTACTGCTACTCCGCGTAATTTTGTAATGCCCCTGGGAATAGGAACATTACAAAATTCACTTGCCTAACATTTTAAATGAATAAGACAACTATTTGAATCACACAAGTTTAAAGAAAGACATATGGTGTTGTATGCTGTATTATGTCCGCAGAGCTTAGCTTTCTCCAGTACAAGCATAACTGTATCACATAGAGGAAGATGAGACAGTTACAACTACACAGAGTGTTCGGCTACTGGTTGGCATAATTTGAAGAGATGATAACTTGGATGATGCTGAACATCTTTTTCCTTTGCCAAAATTTTGTCTAAAGCTTAGTTTTTGAATCATTAAGCAAAAATACGGACCAATGAAGCCGCGAGAATTGCGTGCGCTTAAACACGAGAGGGATAGTTTCGATCTTAACGACCGAGCGCGATCATGAGCAAGCGCCTTTGCGCCGGAACAGTGAAAGCTTAACACGTTCACGCCGGGGCGAATATTTACATTTTTCTTCGTGGGGCGGGGCGACATTGTTTCTCCTTTGAATCTTCGAACGCACTAAATATGAGATCAAAACAGTTGTAACATCCCTGAAGAATTTTCAAACTTTTATCCCAGTATCATTTCTTCAATTATCGACTGTATTTCTCTCTTACCAACCGCGACATTAGACAAATCGAGTATCATAAGAATTCAGTAAACTGTCGGTAATAAATGTATAGTTCTATATGGAAAATTCCGTAATGCTATGTGCCTACGTGCCGCGAAGCTCGCCCCGAATTTCCTAGTATTCTCGCGTAATCTTAGAGAAGGATAGGAATATATTTTACAATTGCAATATTATTAGTTATTAAAAACCATTAGTTAAACAAATCAGTCAATATATATCAAGCGTACTAATATTATATTATCCGGAACTAAAGTCAGGTGTTAGTTTATTGCAGTGCATATTGTAAATTATAATATTATTCAATGGAATGTTTTAGAAGCATCGTATGCTTATACATTTAGCTCCGATCCGTATAGAAGTCGTGCGTAGTATATAGAAGGAGATAGAACATACAATTTTCGTTAAAACACTATTAAATTACTATTTTTATATCAGGAATATAAACTATTATGGCGATTGCGATATTGATACTGTAATTAAATCGTTTGTTTTCATAATTAATGTCTAATTACAAATTTATACGACAATTATATATTTCGACATTATGGGGGTCTTCCAAGAAATTGCCAGGCTGGCGAGTATAAAAGGCCGAGCGAAACTCGCCTAAAGCGCAGAACAGTTTTCGAAGTCGATCGAGCTAGAAGTCTTCAGATAAGTATGACCGGAACAGTTTTCGCTGTTCAGAGCCGCAACGGTTCTTAATACTTGACTGGTAAAGCGGGTATACGCCATTTGGATACTTGATCGTGGGTCGTTCTAGTAGCTAGCTAACGCAGGCTCCCCAATTAAGCGATCTGGTTTTGGCTGTCAGTGTTTGTTTTGACAAAAAGGGTCATGGACAATCAGTTGTCGAGACAAATTAAAAGAGTAACTGTTCCGAGGGAACAATTCATTTAGATTCAAACAAATTTTGGAATTTGAATTAATAAAAGAATATTGTTCTGTCATCAGCGTAATTTCCGTAGTCCACTACACCGCGTTAGATATTAGATAAAATTGTTAATCTGTCTAACTTTGCGAAAGCGTATTTAGGTACACTTAGAGAATCACACTTAGGTCGTGTTCCCCGCTGCGGTAGACTATAACGCGCTATTATTACAGGTCGTGTTCCTCGCTGCGGTAGACTATAACGCGCTATTATTATTTTCGTAAAAGAGTATTCATTATATAAATTACAAACGTATTAATCAAGATAAATTTTGTCATTGCGATAGCGTTCGAAACGAGAATCAAATCTTATAGAATATCGAATTCAGTTAATTTTATAGAAGCGAAGTTAGCTTTATTCGAAATCAATTAGAAGCGAAGTTAGCTTTATCCGAAATCAGACTTAGGTACGATTTAATATAAAGTATTAACTAGCGAGAGTTATTTTGTTAGATTCACAATTACCTATGACGTACTGTTTAATTTGCCAAGTTCTATTATTTCAATTATTAATATTATATCAAAGTCTATTTAGTTTCTTTTGATCAAACCAGTATACTTTTCATATTTCATATTTTGTTGTTATTTGTTACTTGTTATTTGTTAAATTCATCATCTTCATTATTTATTTGAATAAACCTTATTGTTGAAGGATATTGACCTGTGGATTTTACTCCTTAACCGCACACCACACGAATCCCACAATCTTTAGATTTAGTTATTTTCCAAAACGAGTCGTTCAGTTGGTAAAAGCCGCTCTTTACCTTACTAGCGCTAGTAACTATCTGAACCTAGGTTCCAGAGTCGTTACACAGTTTTGACATTGAGTTTTCGAAACGCACATTTCTTGCATCAAGTGTAAAGGTAGGTAAAATTATCTTTTCTTCTACAGAGGCGGTTAGCACTTTTCCTTTTTGAATTTTTCACAGAGAAATCGAAGAATGTGAAGTAGAAAAGAAAAAACGGTCAAGAAAACACACACATTTTCTACAATCGTCCAAAGAGGCTGCCACAAAAAAAAAGAAAACGATGTAAAGAATGTTACAAACAATTATCGAAAATACAAGGTAGATTATAAGCTGCGAAAAAAAGGAAAAAAGTAAGAACACATTGTAAAAGTTGTAAGGGCCAGCTCGCATTATGTTTAGAATGTTTTAAAAAGTTGCATGCTTATAAATAAATAATTGTTGTCAATTTAAAATATTGAATGTTAATGCTTATAATACTCAATTTTTGTTTATAATGTTGACAAAAAATAAAATAAACTCATTTTTTGAAAACCCACCTGTGATGCACGTCGCCCCACGGGACAATTAAATGTGACCCACCGATGGATCACGCCGCCCCTCAGAACAGTCAAGCATGACCCACCGGTGGGTCACCCCGGCGTGAACGTGTTAATAAGAAGCCCTTATATCAAATCTTAATTAAATAGTGAACAGAACAATTAAAAAGGTTTACTTATTTATTTCTTATGAATGAGACTAAAAGTTTAGGCAGTCCCAGCGTAAAGGCGCTTACTCACGATCACGCTTTAATTATTTCGTGTTTTTGCTTAATAATTCAAAAACGTAGCTTCAAGCCCCATTTTGGTAAAAGAAAAAGTTGTTTAGAATTACGTCCCCTATAACCTCTTTCCGGAAGTTGAATAAATTGTGGGACACCCCTACATATGTTGACATAAATACATCGAACTGAATTTGAAATCATCAGAAACCATATATGACATTAAAAACAGGAAGATCTTTTTATTTAATGGCATTAAAAATATGTGGCTGTTCCAGATATTAGTTTACCTCGCTTACGGATCGACTACTATTATAAGATTACGTGTCAAAATCAACACTCATAACCTTATAAAAAATAAAAGACTTCTAAAGTTATACAAACAATAAATATGAGTTTCCTTCTCTATAAATAGCTGATATGATATCGAATCAATTTATACATAGTTTTGGAGAAATAGAAATGGCCAGAATTACGTTATTTCCTTTACACAACCACTCTAGCTCATCTTTGTTCGTCGAAACAGCCACATCTACTGATAGATTCATGCAACTGAAAGGGATTATAATGGCATGAAAGAAAAATACCCTTGTAACTTAATTATTTTGAAAAAAATGTAAGGAAAACAAATTCTAAGTTTGCATGTTGCATATTAACAAAATTATCCGTTTTAAAGAGTGTCAGAGTTTTCCTATTATTCACTGTACAAAATCTTTTGTTGCAACTTAACAAGACCACGATAAAAATAGATTTAACATATTCTATAATTACTGATTTTGTACGTGTGTTTAATAAAATTTGCCCGATAATTTTTTGTTGAGATACTTACATGCCTTTCATGTCGGAGGTATTGAGAAATTGTGGAGGTATTGTGAAGTACATTGAAGGAATACAAAAATTACAAGTTTATAGACTCACAGGTTCGCCGCTACCATAAAAAAGTATTCAACAGCATTTTATTTTACGTGCAAGGTGCTGAATGTGTGTAGGTCTCTTACCGCTATATAATCACCCATCTATCTGTTATTGATGGCGATAATTGTAGAATGATCCACTAAAGTTGAAAACCGTATGTGTATTTATACATGCCTAGCAGAATCCAAATCTGTGGTACACAGTACCTACCTTGGGAGTTTCAAGTAGTTGAGCGAGACTGTAAAATACTGTATTACTAATTCCGTCACGATATGTTGAGGTCGTAATATTTTTCAGAAGTTAAAGTACATTAAATGTCATAGTTAAATTTAAAAAAGATATGTATAATATTCACGCATAGATATGTTATCTAAATGTCGTAGCATTATTTGGAGTTACTTCTTCAGGATTTAAATAAACGATTATACTAAATCGTGACAGCGTATGTACCTCTTCTTCCTAGTGATAAGAATTTAATCTAAATGTGCACCTTCACATTATGTATAACATCATTCCCTGTAAGGGCAGCTTAGAATGCCCTCGTCTGTACATTAATAACTACCGAGCAATTTGATACGAGAAGCGTATACAGATTGCAATCTCACCTGACCGAACCCGAGGTTACCAAGAATGGCATAGGTGTCGGGCATGGGCTCAATGGTGAACTGCTCACCGAACTGCGGGTGCTGCTTAACACAGAATGTGGACACTGTGGTGGACCGATGTGTACCCCATTTGATGCGTTTCCGCTTTTACTCGAGGAACGTCCTTTCAAGCACGGAATTCTCGACCATCCGCTAATATCCTTACCCGATACACCTATAAACAAATATTGTTGTTAATTGCGATTACTCTAGCTAGTTGAAACATCTATAAAATAATTTGTATTGTTAAATTATTAAATCACATTATTAACATATTCACTAGTGTCGTTTTAAGAAAAGTTGTTCTTTACAGTCCAAGTATCAAGTCTTTATACTTTTACGTAAATATTAGGTTGGGGAATAAGTTTGTGGCGTTTTGACATTTTCTTTTTTTTACAGCGACCTTTTGCAATTTGCAAGAAGTTATAATATTCATTCGATAGAGCTCTTTCTGCTCTACAAGACTGTGTTAATCGTTTTTTTCAGTAGATTCATTCGTCATTGCTATTGAGGCTTAGAAATGGAATATCAAGAAGGTAAAAAGCAGCATTTTCGACACCTGCTCTTCTTCGCTTTTCATCGCGGCCAAAAAGTTGTGAAAAGTTGTGAATAGTTGCTGAAACAGGCCGGGATATTTGCAATGTATACGGAGAAGGTGTCATAGGTGAATCGACAGCACGGAAATGGTTTGCAAAATTCAACCTAAGGTTGGGCAATAAGTTCGTAGCGTTCACTTCGTGAGGCACCCAGGCTCCCAATTTTTCGACAAATCCCATTGAATGGAGATGATTGAGAATAGTATTGTGGTCACAGTTCATTTTTTCGACTAATTCACGACTAATTTGAGGACCATCCTACTTCACACGTGCTCGGAGACGCTCTTCGTCGAACTCAGGTCTTCCGCTATGGGGCGGGTTTTCGACGTTAAAATCGCCATTTTTGAATTTTGCAAACCATTTCCGTGCTGTCGACTCACCTATGACACCTTCTCCGTATACATTGCAAATATCCCGGGCTGCTTCAGCAGCTTTTTGGCCGCGATGGAAAGCGAAGAAGTGCAGGTGTCGAAAATGCTAATTTTTACCTCCTGGATATTCCATTTCTGAGCCTCAATAGTAATAACGAATGAAATACTGAAAAAAAACGATTAACACAGTTTTGTAGAGCAGAAAGTGCTCTATCGAATGAATATTATAACTTCTTGCAAATTGCAAAAGGTCGCTGTAAAAAAAAGAAAATGTCAAAACGCCACGAACTTATTCCCCAACCTAATACGTTTCCTAAATACGTTTTAACAAATATACTACCAAAATGTGTTAAGTAAACGATCAAAATGTTTTTTTATAACGCGTCATAGAACTGTTACACTTTGGAATAATGAAAATGAAAGCTTTTAATAAAAATTAATGACAGTAAATAAAATATCTGATGAGAAATACTCATTTTTTTATAATTATCAAACTTTTCTTAACAATAAACCTATACTGCAGGAGAAGAGAAGTAATTAGAAACAGTAAATTTTTAACGAGTTAAGAAGAATGTGTTATAACATTAGATTAAGCGTAGTCCGCCATTGTAAATACTGTACAAAAGTATCTACGCCAGAAACGAATCAGACTTCATCTATTTTTTCGTCGAAAATTGAATAATACATTTGTCTCAAATATATGACACTGGGCCTTGAATATATCTGGAAACATTATACAAGTGCGATGCTTTGTTAGTAGCGAATGCGTTGACATATTCAGGTGCAGAATAACAGGTGAACTCGGTTGAGAATCGACAAAATTGAAAAAAAGACAATAAACTCCGAAGAGCTCTTTGGACGCTGTAAGCATCCAGGATTATATGCTGCGTCCTAAATTAGTAGTCGATTCCTATAACAAATTACATATTTAATAAAAAGTTATAACATAAATATATTTATACCAAAAATTTTGTTTGTAATATTTCTTATATTTGTAACATAAGCTGCGTTACCCAAAATCTGTTAAATTCAATTGGACTGAAATTTTGCAGAGAGCTATGTCGTGAATAGATACAATGTTTACAATAACAACTTTTTGTATCTTAAAAAAATCTGTATTATCTTAGTGGCATTCCCTACCTTGCCACAGCGTAAAACACGTTTAAAGTAAAGTGAAAGGATAAAAACTGATTTGAGAAGGCAGTCCGATTTGCTAAAAAACTTGTCGATTAAAATAATGCAACCCATCCGATATTTTTAAGATGCTTTTTAAACGATAAACCCTAACATTATACAGCCGATTACAATGCACACTGTATACGAAATGTAAATCAATAATACTGTCGAAATTGTATTGTAATACCAAAAATATTTCGAATGCTACTGTCATGTTACTCTACGCTGTGTCGATAAGGTAACAAATGGCAATAAAACGATACATTTTTTCGAATCACCAAAAATTCTCACAAATATTGTTTCTATGCAAAACAAAGAGACTTGCAAAATTTAAATCAAATCGAATTCGACAAATTTTCAGAAATTTCAGTAATTATTCAAATATCTCTAAAACAGATTGAAAACTCTATTACTATTTTGTAATCTGCGATTTTGTTTTCGAGATTGGCAATAACAATATTATCTTCCGTTGCTTTCATTTCAAATAACCGATATTTAAACATGTAGTCCATATAAGGTTGTGTTGGGCTGATGATTAGATGTGGTGCTCTGTAAAAAGATAAATACATGCGAATACCTAAATCTTTAAAAGCGTAGAACGGTTAACGATCTGAATCCTACTTCGAATACTGAAAACGTAAATTTGTATGCAAATTCTCGTCGGTTAATCCAAAAAAATGTTCGGCTTAAGGTTAATGAACATTGAGCGTTCTTAAAGACTGACAATATTGATCCTTGTGTAACATCCCTGGAAGAGTTTTTTTTTACTTTTCATCACCAACATGACAGTCCTATGTTCAATTCAATTACCCACCAATAGTTTAGTTACCGACAATAATAAACTGTTACCGACGGTACATTATATATTAGTTATCCTGTGTATTTAGCTTTGACAGTCGGTAATCATTAGATATATATATATCAATATTCTTTATTTTAATAATTGTTTTATGTTTCTAATTTAAAAAGAGTAATATGTTTCATTAAATTAATCAAATGTTAAGTTAATTTATTTAAAACAAGTTAATGTATTATTTTATAGGCTATTGTAATAAATGTATTCCGCAATGCTATGTGCCTACGTGCCGCGAAGCTAGCCCCGAATTTCCTGGAATTCTCGCGTAGTCTTAGAGAAGGATAGAAATACATTTTACAATTGCGATATTATTAATTATTAAAAACTATTAGTTAAACAAATCAATCAATACAGATCGAGCGTACTAATATTATGTTATTCGGAACTGAAGTCAAACGTTAGTTTATTGCACTGAATATTGTAAATTATAATATTATTCAATGGAATGTTCTAGAAGCATCCTATGCTTATACA